AATCTTGATTTTATCACCCACTTGGCCCCACGATTCCCTGCCTTCTTGCTGAGTTCAGCCAATGGCACGCTAGCATGAGACGGGGCTCGGGGTGGGGGTGGTTAGGAGGAGAGAGCGGTCAAGGTATTCATTACATCAGCTCCAAAGCCAGATTTACCATGAAGCTAATGAAGCTTAAACTTTAGAGTTCCCACCTACACACATTCCTTCCAAACCACTGGGAAGAGTCCTCACAATGTTTAAATGCAGTGTGTTTTCATAAAATTAGAGTAAGATATTTAACCACAATTCAATATGACCATTGTCTCTTTCTATTCTGAATTCCCCTCCATCACACTTCTTCTCTTATCAGGTGTCCCTGGAGCAGCTGTGGTTATTTTTGTCATCAGGCTGAGGAGACGCTGAGCTGGAGATTCATTTAGTTGGGTTTAGTGGAATATAATTATGTGCCTTTGTTCTGTGTACAGTTAGGCTATCGTTCATAAGGTTTCACAGGCGAGAAAAGGGCAGAGTTATGTCTGACTCTGCTGCTGAGTATCTGTATGGCCTTTTCTATGTCTGGTGATGATCACTGAGCTTTTGCTTTCTCTACCTAAAGGCATGGTAGACCATCCCAAGCCTCCTGCCAACAGTTGGCCCTCTCTTCTCACCTCCCTATCAAACTCCAGCACATTTTTGTTGTCTTGTCGCTTGGTCTTATCCCCCACTACTGCCCTGCCTATTCTCCTGACTCCATTAAGCTAGAATTCTCAACTCTGCTGAACCTGGTATTACTCACCCTCTTCTCTTGGCTGGAAATGGTCTTTCCCAATCATACTCACGTGGGTTCTTACTAATTTCTAGCTGGCTTGACATAAAAGAATAATGATGATGAAAATAACGTTAAATTCATGATACAGTATCACAGCAAGAATGGTTCATACAGATGATCAGTTCAAAGAGTAATTAGGATTAGACAGCACAAAACATGGGAAACGCCCTGACATCTTACAACTCCGACGTGAAAGCCAGTTGGTATTGATTTCCCCAAATTTGACAACTCATAAATTTTAAATGGCATCACCTGTAGTAAGGTGCAAAGTTGAAATGAAATTTTTCTGAACAGTCAATAACAAACACAAATTTTGATAAACTATGCTAGAGGGAAGACTGAATGACCTTTCTATTCTCTCCACTGGAAAGTATGACCTTTTTGGTATTTGAAGAGGTTATCAAAAACTATGCAGTCAAAATGCAGAGAAGTTTAGAGATTTGTCAATCAGTTAATAAAATTGTGTGCAATTTTTCAGTAATTTGTGATATGTATCGTACTTGTCAGATTCCTCAAGTTTGTAAGTTATGATTTCTTTTACCATTGTAAATAAAGATTGGGTTTTGTGCCTGATTATTATGTTCTTGTCCTTAAAGAGGTAGTGCAAATTATATAAGCTTTGGCTCCCACAAAACCTGGATCCACTCCTACCAAGCCCACTCCTCGCCTACCCTGCCATGATTCCTCCATTCCTTGGAGGCAGCCGTTTTCTACAGCCACAGGTATAACTGGTTCCAGAAACCACTCTTTTTCTTTGCCTCTTCAGACCCAAGGATGGCACAGCCTGACAGTCACAGGTGCTTCACTTTCCCCCTGGTTTCCCTTAACCCTGCTTACTCTTTTTTGTATAGTCCCTTGAAGAAATTTTCCACAATTGTCCCTTCAGTGTGTGTGTGCTATATTTTTGCAGGGATTCTGACTGATATAATTCATAAAAAGCAAAATAACTTGATGCTTTTCTTTTCTTTTCTTTTTTGTGGAGGTACTGGGCATTGAACCCAGGACCTCATGCATGCTAAGCATGTGCTCTGCCACTGAGCTATACCCACCCCCATTATGTGATGTATTTTAAAGGTCACTTTCTGGAGATATTGCAACCCTGTGTTGCTCAGTGCTTGTCCTAACCAGCATGGTGTAGGGCGATAGTTCTCAAACTTTTCATCTCGGAATGCATTTACACTCTTAAAAAAGTGTTGAGGACTCCAAAGAGCTTTATTTTGTTAATGTTGGAAATGCATATAAAATATATAGTTAGAAATTATAACTGAGAAATTTTAAATATTTAAACATTTATTTATTTTAAAATAAAAATAATAAGCTCAATATATGTTACCATAAATGACAGATTGTTATGAAAAGTAACTATATTTTTCAAAATATTGGAGCAAATAATGGACATTGGTTTACATTTTTGCAAATCCTTTAGTGTCTGCCATAGAAAACAATTGGATTCTCAGATCTGCCTTCACATTCCATCTATTGCAATATCACATGTCACTTTTGGAAAACTCCACTGTATACTCACGAGAGAATGAGAGCAAAAACATAAATAACATCTTAGTATTATTAACATAATTTTGACCCCATTGACCCCTCTGACCGGGCCTTGGGAACCAACAGGACTTTCTGGACCATGCTTTAAAACTCACCGGTAAAGAGAAATGGACCCTGATTTGGGAGTCAGAATCCTTAGGTTTTAACTCTGCCAT